TTTGTATCTAGTTTCCTCACATATAAAATGAAGTTTGTATCTGCCCCATATAAGTGACAAGTTGGCTGTCAAGAGTAGATGAGATCACAGACATGACAGTGTTTTGTAGCAGGTAAAGCAATCTAACTTTTGCTCAAAAAATGAATAAAGAGGCCAGTCTTTACACCCAAGGACCTCATGATCTAGCTGGAGAGAGAAGTGTCCATCTGAAACTACAGGAAATCACAGAGCAGTTTATAACAGAACTCATCTGATGGAAAGGCTCTCCATGCTGTGGGCTTCATAGGAAGTGAGACTGTTGGCATTTGAAGGGACCAGTAAAGATTTCACTGTTGATGGGAGAGAAGGCAGTAACATAAATGTAAAGGAGGAGTGCGGTTGGAGTGAGGAGGGCATGTCTGAGAAGCAGCAGTGACAGCCAGCCATCTGTACCCAGACAACCAGCTGCAGGACAGTGTGAATAAGCCATATGCCTTGCAAGAGCATATTTCAGCTTTTCTTTCAGTAGGAAGAATTCTCATTGTGATGCTTTGTCTTCTTATAGCCAGTGAAGAGAAAACATCATATAACTCAGAAGATAACGTAGGCATTTAATTCATGAATAGAACACTGGAGCTGGACAGCTCATCTAGACTGATAGATATCTTGCCTGTTTAACCTTTGTACTCTGCTTGATTAAAACAAACAAAAAACAACTGTCCTCTTTCAAAAAGACTATATTGAAGTGTGACAGAGTAGCTGATAACTGGAGTACTCTTCTCAAAGGAAAAAAAAAAAGAAGCTTAAAAGCTTATCAGAATAGATAAAGCAACTGTTCAGAGGCATTGGAAAGCAGCAATGCAGTCATTACCTGAGGGGATACCATTCCTGAGGGAAGAGAAGCAGAAGTGGCTACCCTAGCTTTCTCCCTAAGAGTGCTTTCCAACGCACAACCAAGGGTGTGGGATCCTAACAGAGAGTAAGACTCCTACAGGGTTCAGATAATGGAATTAGGGGCTACCAAAGTATCTGGGATTTAAGGGATAAAATTCCAGGAGAGGGAATCACAAGGAAAGAAAGCAAAAAATGTGCCTGTAGTCTTCCTTCAATGTGTTTGCCACTTCTAAGTCCATATAACCAAAGCAAGATCCAGGAGCCCTGTAGAAAGCAATAGTTGGAAATGTAATGAGCAGTGCAAGTATTTCAAGAGCCACACAGAGTACTGAGAGATGAGACTGGTGTTCAAGGCCTGCCAAGTTAGAGGGATTCTGATAAATGCTCAGCTTTTAATTGGAGGCCCAGAAGGTCCACACCTTTGGAGTAAGGAAAAACTGAAAGAAGCTAGCCCTGAAATAAAACTAACCTCTGATGGGATTAAAGTGGTCTCACTTCATTCTCTCTGCCTGCTACGAGGCCATGCTACACTGTTAGGAAGATGATCTGGGTCATCCAAAACCTCTACAGCTTCTAAACAGAATGTCTGGCAGCCAATTAAAAAAAATTAAGAAGCATGCTAGAACTTGACATCAAATGACCAAAATGAAGAGAAAGAATAGCCGGTAGAAAGAGACCCACAGGTGACTCAGATGAGGGAGTCCTAGGCATTTACTAACTGTATCAGAAAAATAGAAGGACAGGATCCAGCAGAGAGCTACTTTTCAAAGGGTCTGAATTGGGGTTTGATCCCCAGCACCTAAAAAAGAAAGGTCAAATGGAAATTGTGGAACTGAAAAATACAGGAACTGAAATTACGAATTCAATACATGGGTTTAATAGCCATTTAGACATTAAACGAAAGGGAATAGAGAATTATTGAATCTGAAGGAAAGTTAGAAAACACCCAGATGGAGGTTCAGAGAAGAAAAATATAGAAGAATAGGAGACACATGGAATGTAGTGAAACATTGAGAAGTGACTTTATCACGTGTATGTGTTTGAAGTCCCAGAAGAGAAGGGAGTGTGACTGAAGTAATATTTAAAGAATTATTTGCTGAGAGTTTTCTAAAATCAGCGAAAGCCATAGATTGAAGAAGTTCTACAGTCTTTGGCAAGATAAATACAGAAAGCCACATATAAGAACATCACAGTTAAACTACTGTTAGCCAAAACCAGAAAAGCTTAAATGTAGTCAGAAAAAAGAAGCATGTTATCTTTAAAGGTGCACCAGAAAGACTGACAGCTAGCTGGTAAGAAAAAATGTGGATAAAGCTAGAAGACTGTAATTTTATCTTGAATGCTTTGAAAGAAAATAATTGCTAACCTAGAATTCTCAACCCAGCAAAAATATTCTTCCAAAATTAGTTGGGTAAAAAGAAGTTTTCAAACAAATAAAAACTGAGTGCATTCATTACTGTCTGACTTGCAGCCAAAAATAACAAAATCAGTTCTTCAGGCAACAAGAAGGTAATTTAAGATACAAGCTCAGATATGCATAAAGGAAAGAAAGGGTCAATGTGAATGAAAATTCCCCTGTGAAAGCAATGACAGCCGTGTAGGACTGAAAACATGTAATGAGGAAATCTTTCACTCATAACACATAGATGAGTAAGGGCTCTTGCATTGTTTGTTAAGTTGTTAAATTGCTAATTTGAGGTATCAATAAACTAGTGATGCTTACTTTAATTGTTGGGATAGCCAACTAAAAGAATAACGAAAGAGCCAGTTGCTAGCGGCTTGGCCTGTAATCCTAGCTACTTGGAAGGCTGAGATCTGAGAGATTGAGGTTCAAGTGCAGCCAAGAGAAATAGTTCATAAGACCTCATCTCAAAATAATCAGATCAAAAGGGACCGGAGATGTAGCTCAAGCAGTAGAGCACCTGCTTTGTAAGCACAAAATTCAAACCCCAGTCCCGCCAAAAAAAAATAATAATAGTAATAACAACAACAACCAAAGACTAAACCAGCAAGCTAATGAGCAAGAAAAACATGGAATAAGTGTAAAATTTTGATTCATTCTAAAGATGAGAAAGGAATAATAAAGGAACAAAGAACAGATGGAACAAATAAGAAACAAATAGAATAGGCATACGCTTAAACTTAGCCACATCAGTGGTTATATTAAGTAAAGGAGAAGCTCAGAGTCTTGAAAGAAGACTCTTGAAAGAAGATAAAATATTAAAACATGTTTTTTACAGGAGATAATCTTATAGTCCAAATTTGAAAGTAAAATTTTTTGAAATTTATATATGTATACATACATGCACATATAATATATGCACATATATACACAGACAGGGAAAAATAAGCAAGGATGTAGGAGATATAGACAACATTACATATACCAACTCTGCAGTACACATTTAAAAAAATTAGCATGTATTACCAGTGCAGGGGGATTTTCAATGAGATTATTCCATAAACATGTATTACAGTACGCATTCTAAAACTTCACATAAATCATTTATAGAAATAAACAATGTGCTAAATCAAGTTTAAATAAATTGCAAAATGTTGAAATCACACGTATATTCTCTGTCCACAGTGCAACTGAAGTAGAAATCAATAACAAAAAAAGAAAGACAATCTCAAAATGTTTAGAAATTAAGCAATATACTTTTAAATGACCCATATGTTAAAGAACACATCGTCCTGGGAGTCCTGGTTGGGAGGTTGAGGTAGAAGGATCATGAGTTCAAGGTTAGCCTGGGCTACAAAGTGACACAATCTCAAAAACAAAAAGAAGACATCATAATGGAAAGTAGAATTTAAAAAATTTAAATGATAATGAGAACAATATGTAAATATGTGGGGGTATATTTTAAATAGGATGTAGAGGGAAATTTATAGCTTTAAATGCATGTATTAGAAATAAAGACCAAAATCAAGAAGGAAATAAAAGAAGAACAGAAATCAACAAAATAGGAGAATGTGTGAAGAAAATCAACAAAACCAAAAGTTGTTTTTTTGGGAAAGACTGATAAAATTGATAAAGTTCCAGAAAGACTGATCAAGTACAAAGAGAAAACAGACTTACAATATCAGGAATGAAAATGTGGATCACTGCTGGTTGTGCAATCATTAAATGGATAGGATGCAGTTTTTCCAATAAATTTAACAATGTAGAGGAACATATTGAAAAAAAATTAAAAGCACAATTAAAGAAAATGATACACACATGAAAATGGGCATTATTTTAAATCTATAAAGAAAATAATTTAAAATCGTCACTCAACCTGGCATGGTGCCATATGCCTGTAATCAACTCCAGAGGTGAAGGTAGGAAGGACTGCCAAGTTTGAGGACAGGTGGGGCTACTTAGGGAGACCCTGGCTCAAATGAAATAAAAATTAAAATAACCTCTCTTTCTCCCTCTCCCTCTCCATCACACACACACACACACACACACACCCCTCTGCTGGTTTTGATGAGAGATTCTTCTAAAACCTCTCAAGGAAGAAATAATGTCAATTTTGCATAAATAGAAAAGAAGAAACACTTTCCAACTCATTTTATGAGGCCAGCATAACCTTGATTTAGATATTTCAAGTGTTGTGACAAAAGAATAAATGGTGTTTGATTCCATTCACATGAAATTTAAGAGTGTCAAGAGTGGGCACAAGAGAGACCCAAGTAATGGTTGCTCCTACAGGGAAGTAACCTTGCTGACTGGGAAGTGGGATCTTCTGGGGTACTGGAATGCTCTCTGTCTTCATCTGGGTGTAGTTGTAAGAGTATGTACATGTGAAAAATTCATTTAGCTGTACACTTAAGACTTGTGCACTTTAGTGTGTGTATGTTATATCTGAAAAAAAAAAGACTATAAACTTGGTCTGACACAACACATTGGTATTTTAATCATCACAGTTTCTCTTCTGTTTAAATTGAATCCAGTGTATATTTCTCTTGCTATTCTATCCTGACTGCATTTGATAAAGGCACACCTGTGTTGGAGCTGGCCTGGACAGCAGGGAGCCCTAGGCTTCTAATCTCTGGGAATAAAGGAGTTACCTAGTGTTGACTGTGATAGAGTTCTCCCGATACTGCTTGCTTGCTCACTTACAGCAGTGTTGTTTTCTTTACAGGCACGCTGGTTCTGGGAAGCATACTTCCAGTCAATTAAAGCCATTGCCCTGGCCACCCTGCAGATTATCAATGACCGGATCTATCCATATGCGGCCATCTCCTATGAAGAATGGAATGACCCTCCCTCTGTGGTGAGTGGGCTGTCAGGATGGGAGAAAGGAAAATGTACTGCAGTTGTAAAGGTTATTTAAACTCTAGCCATCTACAATGAGGGACTGCTGTTTATATTTGGTGCCTGATATGGGCAGCTTAATTTTGAAATTCTGGCAAAAGTAAGAAATATGGAAGCAGTAGTTCCTGATTTGTTTTCAGTGTGTTCAGACAGACAGACAGTTTATGACTGAGATAAGCGGGGTGGCATGGGTCTTGGTGGTAATCATAGATTTCCTGACGGCTTTTGTTGCTCTAGAGCTTAGAACTCTTAAAAAACGTCTGTAAGCAACTTAATATTAAGCTTATGTTTTGAGCAGCTACTCTCTGCCAGGGATTGTGCTATTGCTTTGTATATGTTATTTCAATTGACATTTCCAGTCCCTGTGAGGAAAATAGTGAGCAAAAGTGATGCAGTGATTGCTATAGTCACTTACTCAAGCCAGCATGGGCTCTTAGGTTTCCAGAAGAGAGAGGGCCTGTTCAGGCCAGCCCTCCTTGTGGTCTGAGTCAGCTTTCTCTCTCCCTTGCACCCCTCCTTTCCTTCCTTCTTTCTTTTCTCTAGCTTTTATTATATGGATTCTAGGTTGTAGGCCCTCCACAATGTGCTAAGAATACAGGAAAAGAAGACGGTTTTGTTCTTCACTGTTGGGAAGCCAGCAAGTAAAGCATCAATAGTGTAAGTCCTGTACCAGCGCAGTATCCAGAGGGCCATGGGAGCATGTGGTCTCACATTTCTCTTCCCTGGGTCACTTCTGAAGAGGGATGAAAACCTATTCTTATGGCAAAAATACTGATAAATATCCTTCTGTTCTGTTGAGACGATATTTCCTCCTTGAATCCATTACCAAAGGTGACCTTCCACAATGTTCCAGTTCATGTACAAACATAGTTGCATAATTATAAAACAAAACTGTACATGTTTCTCTGCACCTTTTTTTGTGTTAGTGGGACTTGAACTCAGGGCTTCTCTCTTGCTAGATTGCCTTTTTATTTTAACAATAAATGGTAGGCTTTCATTTCATTTTGTATAGGTCATCGATGGCTATGTACTGTTCTGTCTGGGTGTATTATTGGTAGACATTTAATTTAGACCGCTTTCTTTTATCTGTTTTCTAATAGTATAAGTAATACATGGGGCACACTTCCTTATATTATGTTTACACATAAATGTGTGCATACATGTATAGAATTAATTCCAGTGAAGAAAATACTTAAAACACTTTTGGTATACTGACATAGTAACAAATCACTCTGCAAAAACTAGATCCATAAGTAACATTTTGGGTATTCTGAGTAACTAAATGTACATAAATTTTTGTTCATTACTAGGTGAAAAATGACCTTTCATGTGTACTTTTTGCAGGTTCCCCTGAATAATTCTATTTGTGTTTTGAATAGTATCTCATTTAATTTCCAGATTGTTTTAACCAATGTTTGTGGTATTTGAAAGCATCAGTGAACAAAACAGAGAAGGAGCTATGCTTTTGTGGAGCACATTGGGTCTTGCCATTTAGAAGGTTTATCTTTTGACTGGAGGTGTGGCTTAAGCAGTGGAACACCTGCCTAACAAGCACAAAGCCCTGAGTTCAAACTCAGTACCACCAAAAAAAAAAAAAGATTTATCTCTATGTCAGAATTTAAAAGTTTCCTTTACATAGATTCTTCACTAATCCTGATAAGTTTTTTCTTAAAAAAATAAAAACAAAACCACAGCCAGGCTAGGTAGTATATATCTGTAATCTTAACATCCGGGAGGCTGAGGCAGGAGGATCAGGAGTTCGATGCCAGCCTATGCTACATAGTGAGACCCTCCCTCAAAAATAATAATCAAACAAAAAAGCCCTCATTATTTTTATTCCTAAATATGTTATCCTATATTCTGATAAAGGACTATTTTCCATTACAGTTTCTAAGGGATTACTATTTGTATAAAGACACATTTTGGCTTTTATATATTGATTTTGTAGTTGCTGTCTTACTGAATTCTATAGTTGATTCACTTTTTTGAGGTGGTTCCCTTGGATTTTCTAATATCTACTAATGCTGGTCTTGCTTCTTTTTTCCAATATTTGAACTTCTGATTTTTTTCTTTTATCTATTTGCATTGGCTGGTATTTCTAGAACTGTGTTAAATAGTGATTTAAAAGAGAAGGCAGTCAGAGAAAGGGAGAAAGTTAGGTTCTATCCAGAAAGAACTATAAACTCAAAGGTGCAGAGGGCAAGGAAGCATGAAGTTAGGAACTTCGAGGAGTTAGGATGGTAGTAGGAGGGAGGTTGTGAGAAAGAAGGATGGGGCCTGACGAGGGCCAGATTTCAGAATTTATGGGAGGTATTGGAGTATTATCTGTGTGTGATGAGTCACCACAGCATCTTCAACAAGGTTGCATTTGGGATAAATCTGTGAGTGACACTGTGGAGAATGGATTATGCACAGCAGTAGGACAAGACTAGAGGCAATAGACTATTTCAGGAGCCCCAGAGAGAATTAATAGAGGACAAAGTTGAGCCATGCCTAGGAGGATCAACTGTTCTCATTAGTAAGTGGGGGAGAAGACTAGGAAGACACAGACATGTTGTGTAGTTTATCCAGAGAAGGAATTTAGATGCACAGGGTCAGGGGTGAGGTGGTACTGGAGTACAAAGTCTGCCTAACTGCAGAGCCTTCCCAGTCTGGCTCCAGTCTGCCTTTCTAGCCTTCTCTCCTTCTGCTCCCTTTCAGTTCTAGGTTTCTGGCCTCACAGCTGCTTCCCTCCTGTGTGTGCTCCATCCTTTCTCCTTCTCTGTGCCTTGTGACCATTGGCCCTCCACCATCAACTCCATATCTACGTCTTTTCCATACGACAGGGGCCTGGCATATATGCCTTCCTCCATGAGGTCTTACACACCCTTGTTCAGGACATGATCTTTTCCTTCTCATAACGCTTAGGCCATGCTATCTGTCTTTCTTTCTTGTCATGTAGCCTATAGCGAAGTATAATTTCCCACAAAGTTTTAAGCATCATAACTGACTTATCTTGGTAATCCTTATATCACCTATGACAATTTAGTTTAGACTTGACTCCCTTGATACATAAAAGAAGGAAGAAGAGTGGGAGACAGGAAGGAAAGGAGGAAGATCAGGATTCCAGAACTTGAGTCATCCACGATTCGGTCACATGCTGATGTGATATCCATCACTTTATTTAACTCTCATCCTGCTGGGAAGGTAGGGAAAGTGACAGATTCCTTCTCATCTGTAAAGTGGTCATGATAAGACTGCCAGGTCCCAATGACTTGTCTCTACTCATTTAATTGGCAAGTTGTGAAAACAGTGAGAACCCAGGTCTTCTACTTACAAATTATCTTGCATTGCCTATGGATTTCTGTGGGAGCCACTGAGCCTCCTCTGGGCTGGAGCATTACTTCTATTCTAACACATGGCGCAGGTGTGAGCTGAAGAATATCACATGCTAAGTTAGGATGCAGAGGGCTGACAGAGTGGCTCAAGTGGTAGAGCACCTTCCTAGCAAGTATAGGTCCCTGAGTTCAAACCCCAGTACTGCCA